ACACCTAAAAAATTAAAAACTAAAAAATAAAATAAAAAAACTATAAAGCTAAAGAATTTAAAAACAAAAAAAACTACAAACTACAGTGTATGCTTGGACACTACACTCATGCTTGAAAATGTGTGATAACAGTACACTGACTCTGAGAAAGAAAAGTGGGACACGGGCGAGTATGTAGAATTGAATGTACTACAAATGAACGATTTGTGGCCAAAAGTTCCAGAGGAAACAAAGACTTGAAACCCTGACTTGAGTTGTGTTCACAGCAAAGGTGAGAAATAACACAAGCCGTGTGCGCACCAATCACAACTTTGAATGTGACTTCAAATGTGTTTAACCCTCACTATTAAAACAGATGGAAATATAAGATATACTCTGATGATCACCTGTTTCTGCACATTCCGAAGCGTTCCCATGTTTATGATTATATTTATGTTCTATGATTTTGGCACATCTGTCAACATGAGACTTTTTGCATCACAATAAAAACTTTTATGATTATATATGGAATCCAAGAGGCATTTGAGGTTAGAAAGCAAATCTAGGAGGGACAATTTGCAATTAACATAATTGACCGCTACCTTGTGAAAAAATGTCTATTAATGTTAAGATTTACTAAAACTTCATTTGAATAATAAATTTCATGATAAACGTATATATACATGTATGACTATGTATATCTCTTGGTACATTTTGTATAGCATACCTTTTAGTGAACCAAAGTCTTAAGCCTCTAAAATTACTCCTTGTCTTAAAACCTTTACATTCAAGATATTGAGGATTACTTGGAATTATTTGATTGCCATTCATGGGGCATGAAATTAATTCTGGTGACTTTTCTGAGGAAACTAATAATTAAGTCATGAAAGTAGACTTAAAAGAAATTCACGGGTCTCGAAAGTAGGCTTTTAAAGAAATTCATGGGTCATGGAATTCATTCTGGTGACTTTCAGGGGAAATTCATGGGTCATGAAAGTAGACTTAAAAGAAATTCATGGGTCATAGGATTCATTTAGGTCAGACTTTCCAGGGAAATTAATGGGTCATGAAAGTAGGCTTTTAAAGAAATTGACGGGTCATGGAATCTATTTAGGTCACAGACTTTCAGAGGACATTAATATGTCGTGAAAGTAGACTTTGAAGAAATTCATGGGTCATGAAGTAAGCTTTAAAAGAAATTAATGGGTCATGAAAGTAGGCTTAAAAGAAAATTCATGGGTCATGAAAAAAATTCCCCCCATTCATGGAAAATTCAGGGCTTAAAATCACCCCATGAATTTTCATTTTGCAGTATTCATGGGACATGAAATGATCTTAATGGGTTTTTCACTAGAAATTCATGGATTGTCATAAAACTACTAACAGTTCATAGTGATATCTGTGAGTATAGAGATCGATTCCTCATTATCTCTTCTGTGATTTTTTCCACATGATCACCCCGTAAAAATCTCTTAACACCACTTAAAGTTTGAATTTTGATCGAAATGAACCTAACTAATATTTTTCAATAGTCCTTAAAACATACCTGTTCGCATGTCAGGCCATACTGCTGAAACATAGCTTCATTATGAGTGATAACAATCCTCCCTGTCCCACAGCGGCACATGCTCTTGGTTCGTAAGGCCTTGTCACTGCAAGAACACAGAATTGCTAATATTGAGTACAGTTCTTAAGTAGGTACTTGTAGGTAATCATGAGGCTCCTGATAAAAAAAAAACTGTTCTCAGGGCTCAAAATTGCGACCAATACAGTCGCATTTGTGACTTAATTTTTATGTTTGCGACTAAAAAAATATTCCCGAGGAGTCACAAAATTGCGAGTCGAATAAAAAAGCCAGCAGTCGCTACTTTGCCACTATTTTTGCCGAAATAAATAAAGAAATGAAAAAATATATTGTCGTGTGCCTTGATTATCATAGACATTTGACGATATAACGTAAAATTGTACCTAATTTATCCGAAATAATGTGCACGCAACGCCATTACCTTGGTGACGGCCGCCATTGCAGCGATCTCTTATTCACACCTCGAGGTCGGGAAGAACGGCCGCCATCCTGGATGTCACAGTGTTATGCGCAGAAAAGCTTGCCCGGAGCAAAACTCGGGGAATCACCCTAATAAAATCAGAAACCTGGATTTCAAAATACCAGATTTTGCAATGAAAGGCAAAGATTTCTCTGAACGTACTTTCTTATTTCTGATTGGCCGTGACTTCCACTCGACACAGTTTCCTAGCAACCACATTCAAACTGGCGCACGGCCTTGGATTTGGTCAGAAAGTAATTGATGTCGCACTGTATAGTCAGGACGGTTCGTTTCGACAGCTGTGTTACATTTGACAACCTTTTCTGCAAGAAGAGTATTCTCCTCTTCACTTTGTACATCGAATGTGAGAAATAACTTCAAACCCTCCTGGATGAAAATTCGCATTTATACTTCGACAGGTGAGAGGTCTTAACAAGACTTTAAACTTATTCGATGTCTATGAAATGTATCTTGTTAAGAGCACTGCGTGCTTATCCTTTAACAAATGCTGAAATTCTTCAAAGCCTCCCGACATATGTAAATGATGTGGACGTGTATTCTGAAGTTGCTCCGATTATTTTAAACATTCAAAATTCTTCCATCGAAATATAGTGCAAAGTCATTTAACCTCCCTCAATATCGGTCATGACGTGAGCTGAGAAATCGACAAAATGAGTTAAAGTGGTTCCTCACGAGTACAGACATCACGCGATATTTGTACTCTAGAAATTTCCGCGAAATTCGCCCACACTGAAATAACAATTTGGCGTGTTGGATAATAATCTCTTGTTAGACGTTTTTTTGTGTAGTATCTGACTGAGTATTTTTAGTCGTTGTTTGTATTTCGACTCGCCCTAATTGGGCTCATCAAAATGTAGCACAACTCGTAAAAATACTCAGCAATACTACAAAAAAAAAGGTCGGATGAGATATATTTATTATGCAGTTGTGCTTTGTAGAGTACAAATAACGTGCAGAGATGAGTACAAATATCATGCGATATTTGTACTTCAGAAATATCTGCGAATTAAATTCGTTCGCACTGAAATAAGAATTTGGCGTGTTGGATAATAGATCTCTTATTAGACGTTTTGTTGTGTAGTATTGCTCAGAATGAATATTTACTCATTGTTTGTATTTTGACTTGCCCTACAGGCTTGTCAAAATACAGTGCAACTTATCAAAATACTCAGTGATACATACTACACAACAAAACAATATATGTATTGATGTACAGTGTGTACTAGAAACAAAATGTATCAAGAGATTCATTAACTCAAATCCTCATGAATGCAGTTTCTCAAAATAATGTAAAACATATTTTGATGAGTGCTGCTACAGCTTGTATCAAAGTGTTTCTGTTCTGGTTAATTTAAGCCCCCTCAGATATATACACTGTGTTTGTAAGGCCCTTTATTTATAAGCTCTCCTAAAACCCCTTACAAAGTTGTGTGTGCCCAGACTACTAATTAAACCTGAGTGAGTAGTTTTATATTGTTAGTATGCTGAGTATTAATGGTATTGTTTTCAGCATAGTTCTTGTCAATAGACATACTAATGTTACATTTTGGGATCCAAAGTCACTATAATGTGAATAAACTGATCTGCAATATATGTATATCAGCATCAATGTTACCTAAGGAAAAAAAACAGTCACTAATAAAACAACATAGCAGAATGAATTAGGGATCAAAATGGTGACAGATATGCTGTAGAGTTGTACATAGGCTCAGACAGACAGCTCTGTTGTCTCATCTTAATTTCTTTCTCCACAATTTTAGATTGCTTTAGCATAATTGGCACCATATCTAATAATGCTTTGTCTCCTGTACCATTTACAATACATGTTAGTTCTACGGGTTGACTTTCTGATGGAAACTCTTATCACTGTTTAATGTTCCTCACTGTTACAATTCTCATGTGTTGGTGTCATGGCAACCACATATTTATTATAGAACACAAAATTTTTTAGGAATTTGAATCATATTGGATTAAGCTTCCAGTAGTAATGCTGGGCATCTCTATGATAACCCTTATTAAAAATCTTTCCTTTTTAGCATTTGAGGGCAAATGAGTTAATTGTTCTTAGTTTTTTTACTGAACCTGGCTTCTTTAAGCTCAGTTCTCTCTCTTGGTACTACAACGTCCAGTCCATTTGCAAGGGTCATTTCTTTGCTGAATTTTCATCTGCAGCTCAAATTGAATTATTGATTGAAAATTTTGATTTAGATTTGCCTCTAAATTTTGTCCATTGACATGTGGCTTTATAGCTGACAGCTGGTGGTAGACTGCCCAACTAATATCTTGAAGGCAGGAGTTCAAATCCTTTCAATGCCTGAATTTTTTTTATTTTTTTATTTTTCTTTTAATCATCTGAATTTTTTTTTTTAGTTTTCCTTTTTTATTTACTTTTTTTAATAAAATTTTACAATACTCAACAGTACACTGCAATACAATACATTACTTACAATGCTGCTTTAACTTGCACTAATAACAATAATGAACATATGAAGTTCATATATTTTGAACTATGGTTATAGATACAAATGATGCACGATCTTTGCAGTAGAAAGCGCTATTTATGCAATAGCGAAAATCAGACGGAAAAAAAAAAAAAATCAGGCCTGTACGGGATT